TAAGGATTTTTGACACGTTTTTGAACTTATTCCTCAAATAAAATACAATTCCCACTCCCAGGAATGTGCCAAGGAGCAACTGAGGAGGCAGCAGCTTCTTGGAAGTTCCTTGTTGAGGTCCCAGAGACAAGATGTGGAGTTGAGTGTCAGTGCCTTGGAGTGACAGGGAGAGTTTGGATGTGGAGAAGGAGAGTTCTCTGGCTGGTTGGGATGTAAAATTCTGTAAGGGGGAAACCCCCAACCTTTCCTTCAGGGATTGTTGTCTCCGATGGGTTCGTGCCCCTTGGGAAGTCCCTGCTGAGGAGCTGCAGGAATATTGGGATGAGTGTCTGGTAAGGAGGGAAGGACTTTCTTGTAAAGCAAAACAAACCCAAATGCCACCCAAAACCAAAGCTGAGGGAGCAGGAAGACACTGGAAGCAATTGCAGTATCTCCCTGTCCTCAGGCCCCAAACAACAGGAAAACTTGAGGTAAGAAACAAAGGAATGTGGAAGGGAGGAAGTCTGAGAATGGCAAAACCCATGGGGAGAAACTTGGGTTTCTCTCCCAGCTGGTCACTGGCATTTCAGACATTTTTGGCAATTCCTCATTTTATTTCTTACTCTCGGAAGATTTTCCAAAGAAAAATGTGGAGCTTTGGTGTTTCCCAGGGGCTCCATGAGAACCTGGGCTCCCTGCACCCATCTGGGGCTGTTCCTGCTCCTCTGCTGCCCTATTTCCTTATCTCCCAGTGGGGTGGAGGTGACAGTCCCCGGGCTGTGACCCTGCACACAGAGGGTGTTTGAACACTGGGAAATACAGGGAGAATGTGTGATCCCACTCCATGGGGTCATTCCTGGCATGAGGGGACACACGGGGACATTTCCCGGTCCATGGGAATCCTTCCCGTGCTCCGTGTGTTGGAGGCAGACTGAGGGACTCTTCGGTTGCACAAAACAGAGTTCTTCAGTTCCTCTCTTGCTCACTGTTTCTCCAAAGAGGTCATGGAAAACCAAGTTTCCCTGGAAAACCAGGGGATTTCTGGCCTGTGCAAGGCTGCTCAAAGTTTTTTGTTCAGGGTCTTCCTGGAGCCTTTGGGAAAAACAGAGGGGAAAAACGCTGGATGAAAGGGAGGCTTGAGACTCGTGTGGAGTCTCCAGGTGTTCCCACTGATCCTGTTCTTGCTTTGCTGCTGAGAACACAGGAATCAGGTGGGACTCAGGGCCGTGACCTGCACTGTGTTGTTTCCAGGGCTGGTTGCTGTGGGAGAGAAGGCCCAGAAGAGATCCGGCCATTACGTGGTGATGAAGGACCTTTCAGGTGAGATTTTTTTTCCCCAAAATCCTGTAGTTGCCAAAGGCTGCTCTGATACTGACCCCTGGGTGTGTGTGTGGGCAGGGAAGCACCCGGTGTCCGCGCTGATGGAGATCTGCAACAAGAGGAGGTGGACACCCCCCGAGTTCGTGTTGGTGGACGACAGTGGGCCTGATCACCGCAAGCATTTCATCTTCAAGGTGGGTCTGAGCTGCCTCAGCTGCTGCTGAGTCGCTGTCCCAGGGCAGGGAATTCCTGTTTCTGTTTGGGTGGAACCATCTCAGCCACCTCAGGAGTGGCTGAGGACGGTGAGTTGATCCCAGGGCTGGAGCCCCTCTGCTCTGGAGCCAGGCTGGGAGAGCTGGAGGGGTTCACCTGGAGAAGAGAAGGATCCAGGGAGACCTGAGAGCCCCTTCCAGGGCCTAAAGGGGCTCCAGGAGAGCTGGAGAGAGACTGGGGACAAGGGATGGAGGGACAGGACAAGGAGGAATGGCTTCCCACTGCCAGAGGGCAGGGATAGATGGGATATTGGGAAGGAATTGCTGTCTGTGCGGGTGGGGAGGGACTGGGATAGAATTCCCAGAGAAGCTGTGGCTGCCCCTGGAGCAAGCTGGGCTGGTGGAAGGTGGCAGTGGATGGGCTTTAAGGTCCCTCCCGCCCCAGCCCACGCTGTGATTCCATGCAGGGGCTGTGCTGCCAGCCCTGGATCGCTGTGCCCCGGGCAAGGGGTTCCCTGGGGAGCCCTGGCAGCCCTTCCCTGGCAGCCCCTCCCTGGCAGCCCTTCCAATGCCGCCTTTCGCTGTCCCCAGGTGAGAGTCAACGGCAACGAGTACCGGCCCACCTTTGCCAGCCTTAACAAGAAGCACGCGAAGGCCACGGCGGCCACGGCGGCGCTGCAGGCGATGGGGCTCGTACCAAAGGAGAGCATGGTCAACACCACCATGTTCAGGAGTGCCTCCCACCGCTGAGCCCCCGCGCCGCACAACTCTCGGTGTTCGCCCCTCGGGTTGTAAATACGTCGGCAGTTCCCACCTTGTAAAAACTGTACAGAGACGCCCACAGGTTTTTTCTTTTGTACCATCCAAATGTATTTAAATCATACTTAGTTTTTGGTATGTTTATATTGTTTACATTAGTGATGTAATTATTTCTTAAACGACTAAATCGGAGGACAGGCTCTGGAGGCATCGGTGATCCAAACCCGCGGCTAAAGCTCCTGCAGTTCCTCTCCCTGTGGGACGCTGACGCTTGGAGGTCCCTGGAGAGCACAGGATTGAACCCCCCGGCCCTGCCCCGGGGGGCCCTCAGTGGCCACCTGCGCTCCCTCAGTGGCCACCTGCGCTCCCTCAGTGGCCACCTGTGCTCCGGGACGGCCGGACGAGGCAACGAGAGGCTTCCAGAGGGGCATAGAGGTGACTCCTGCGTGTCCCCGGGACAGAGGGGCCGTTCCCAACCAGTGAACTCACTGCCCGATGCCGATTGTACGGATTTGTGGTTCATGTGAATTTTGAACTTTACCGGATCTACAACTGGACTGGGGGGGAGGGGGTAGGATGACGCTTCAATTGTTGTACCCGACTTGGTCAATAAAGCAGCACAAGTTCATAATCTGCACCCCTGGTCAGCAGACAGTAATTCCAGTGGATGCCAAGCCAGGAACCGGGAATTTAAGTTTGCCAAAATGCCTTCTGGAAGAACCACACGCAGTATAGAAGTGGCTTTGGAAGGATTCTCAAAAGCCATGGGGTGGGAGGAGCAGGTCTGGTTATTTTTGTTGCTTTGGTCTCTTACAAAATAACTCTTTGGGTTTAACATTTCCATAAGGACCCTGTGCCCCCAGGGAGAGCCTTGGGCAGCTGGGCAGGAGAGGGTGTAGAAAGCTTTTCCTCTTCATTACTTTATCTGTTATTTAAGAAGTATCAGTCCTTTGCCTGCGTGCCCTTGGAATTGGACAGGGCACTGCACCCTTCCTGCCAGCTCTGAGCTGGGGGCCAGGATTTCTGGACTGGGATAGTTCAGGTGCTCATTCCAGAGAAGTTTTTTTTTGAGCTGTTGTATCTGAGCTGGGTCTGGGGCAGGAACTAACTCAGGCCTCCTGTGAAGAATTCCTGGTGCCTGGAGCCGTGTGTATCCCGTCAGTGTCACGGAACAAGGTCTGTCCTTGCCCTGAAGGGACAGGGGTTGGTGTCTCGTGCACAGCAGAGAAATGGGGTTGGTTTGCAGACAAAAGAGCCCCTCCGAGTCTGTCCAAGCGCTCTGGAAATGCTTCAGTTGATCTTCATTTTCATGGACGTTGTTGTCTTGAATTAAACTTTTTTCCCTTTGGCTTCTCGCCTTCGGTCTCTCCCTGAGTGTTTGGAGCCTCTCCAGGCCGTGGCTGAACTGCTGGGAAGGTGTGTGAGATCCAGAGGGACCCTGGGAATGCTGGGCAGGGGGTCTGTCTCAGCCCTTGGGTGCAGGACCCATCCCAGACCTGGGACTGTGACAGAGCTGAGGATCCTGTTCCTGTGGCAGCTCCGGCTTCACACCGGGATATGATCCAGTCTGGGAATGTACAGTCTCCTGTACTTGTTCTGTTCCTTCTTTGGTGTCCCTGTTCCCCATGTTAAGGTAAAGACCTTTCCCAGCAGCAGAAAAAATCCAATCCCTTGAAAGGGGTGAAAATAGTCATGGATTCATGGAATATCCTGAGCTGGAAGGATCATCCAGTCCAAGCCCTGGCCCTGCCAGGATATCCCACCAATCCCCCCCTCCCTGAGAACATTGTCTGATGTCCATTAATTGCTGCTGGATTTGTTATGGAAAAGTGCAGAAAATAATGAAATGGGGACTGTGCTGCCCTGCTCTCCCCTGGAAAGAGGGACACTCTGGATTTAATGTTCCAAGAGCCTCTGTGTGTCCTGAGGGAGGGCCTGGATCCGGGTTGGAGTCAGGGAACCCCAGGGATGACAGGTCACAGCAGTCCCTGTAAAGCCCCAGTGTAACTATCCCTGTGTATTCCTGGGGCAGGGACACCTCCTGTGCTGGGGATGAACAGCAACAGGAGGCAGAGGAAGCTTTTCCTGCCTCAGGCTGCAGTGGTTGCCATTGGAAAAGCCCTCCCAGCCCATGGATCCCCCCTGTGCCCCATCCCCACCTTGTCCCCCAGCCCAGAGCACTGAGTGCCACGGCCAGGCCTTCCTGGGACACCTCCAGGGCTGGGCACTCCAAACCTCCCTGGGCAGCCCCTGCCAAGGCCTCACCACCCTTTCCAGGAGGAAATTCCTCCTGAGCAGGTGCTGCAGCCAATTAATTCCTCCCCCTTGTGATCCAGGTGTAGTTCATACAAAGGACTCCCTTTAACCCCGGGCAGGGGTGGGATTGGGAGTTCTGCTGAGCAGCTCTGGGGAATATCCACCTTTAAGCTGGATCCAGCTGCAGCCACAGTTCCAGGTCCCTGATCCCCATCCATCCCTGTGGAGCTCCTGGCTGGGTGCTGGGAGCAGCCTGGGGATGGGTTTTGCCAAGAATTCCACCCATCCATAGAATCCCAGAAGGTCTGGGGTGGAAGGCACTGTAAAGCTCATCCTGTTCCAAGCCCCTGCCATGGAGGGTTCTAGTTCCAAACTGGTTATGAGTTCCTGCCTGGAGCAGGAGCAGGAATTCCATACTCAGGACAGACTGTGCCTGTGCTGGGGGAGCACAGACCTGCCTGCAAACCACACCCATAAAACGAAGAGTTTTATTTATAAAAGACTTTCTAAAATACAAAAGGAGAAGCCCAAAGCCTCTCTTTCCATTAAAAGTCCTGGGAAGTGTTTCCGTGCCATGGGCACTGTCTGGGATGTCCCTCCCGACCTGCCCAGGTGCTGCCCACCCCCCCCCCGAGCACAGCACACCTGGAACATCCTGCTCCAGGGACTGGAGCCAGCATTCCTAGGCCTTCCAGGTGTATGCATAGTCCTTCATCTCCAGGAAGCGGATGGCAGACTTTCCCAGGGTTGGACACTGCCTCAGCTCATCCAGAGTCTTGGGATGCAGCCCACACGCAGGGAGATCCTGGGGTGATCCCACAGCCTCCTGTGGGAACACACAACGAGGAGTCACACACGGGACAGGTGTTCTGTACTTCCAAACATGCCCTTGGATACCTCTGGAGAGCTCCCGCTCTTCCCATTATCCCATTTCTGAGGGAATGAGAAGCCACAGGGGCTGCCAGTGGTGATCACAGGGTGAGGTTTGTGCCCCAGGTTTGCTCTCCAGCCCCGTTCCCAGGGAAGGTGGTTTTGTGCCCAGGTTTACGCCCCAGCCCCATTCCCAGGGAAGATATTGGTGTCCCCAGTTTGCTCTCCAGCCCCATTCCCAGGGAAGGTGTTGGTGTCCCAGGTTTGCCCCCCAGCCCCGTTCCCAGGGAAGGTGTTGGTGTCCCTGTTTTGCTGTCCAGCCTCATTCCCAGGGAAGGTGGTTTTGTCCCCGTTTGCCCCCCAGCCCCATTCCCAGGGAAGGTGTTGGTGTCCCTGGTTTGTGCCCCATCCCCATTCCCAGGGAAGGTGGTTTTGTCCCCCTTTGCCCCCATCCCCGTTCCCAGGCAGGGCTGTGCTCACCTGCCGTGGCTGGGGGCAGCAGTTGAAGGCAGCACTGGGTTGGTGTGTGCTGAGCAGGGCTCGGAAGGCCCCGCGCTGGGCCGGGCCCAGCAGCCGGGTGAGCGCCCGCAGGGTGTGGGGCAGGACAGGCCCCAGAACCTCCAGGCTGAACACGTCCTCCGAGCCCCCTGGCACGCGGGCACGGGCACTGCGGGCCTGGGGGCACAGCAGGGATCAGGGGCACAGCAGGGATCAGGGGGCACGGCAGGGATCGGGGGGCACAGCAGGGATGAGGGGCACAGCAGGGATGAGGGG